AATTTTACTGTCGAAATGGTTTCCAAATAGAAATTTCAACGTGTTTTAACCAAACAACACATTCGTTCGATTATTTTTGCTCGTACGGTAACAACTTTGAATTAAAATTCCAGTTTTACCGTTTTACATTACACTTATATATTCGTACAATATAAAGCCCGAAATGCCTTATGCTATTTAGGGTTCCACCACCCGAAATTGCCCATATTTTACCAATTTTGCCCTATATCATTAATTGTTCAAGCTCATTAATTCGTACGGACTACTTTCTTTCTTCAAGCTACATGAGGGACAAATTAGGGTTTTTCCATCGAAGCCGAGGTAATTCATCATGTTAACCAGTATGCATTTACCTTAAACAACACTTACTTTAAAATTATGAGGAACAAATATAAATTCAATTTTGGGGAAATAATAAAAACAAAACAAAAACAAAACAAAAATGCCACGTACTCTACTACAATTGGTGATGGACTAGCAAACATTGGCTTAGGAAAATGGGAAAGTGGGACAATCTCCGAGTTGTTGTTTTCCGTGGCGTATTGGGACAACCAAATCCCCGTAATCAGTGCACATTTTGCACGCTATAATATTATTACAATTGGAATTACAAGACAACATTTTATTATTACATTTTTATAAATCAAATAATGGGTAAATTCTACATTTCCCTTTTGCATTTTGATTCGGTATCACTTTATCTTTTCTACTCTCGACTGCATTGATTTATCACCATGCACTTGAAAAATTGTCTCAATGTGGCCCTCGTTCTTAGTTGTCAGACATTTGACCTCAACACTGTTTGAGCTATAAGCTCCGAAATTACAAAAACGCCGTATCTCCCAATTTAAATAATTATTAAAAAAAACAAAAAAAAATTAAAATATTAAAAATTTCAAGAGAATGAGAAAGCATGGTCCACAACGACAACCACAATTTATTTTTTAATTTTTTAATTTTTTTTAATAATTATTTAAACTCGGAAGGGTGGCTTTTTTGTAATTTTCATACTTAGATCAAACGGTGTTAAGGTCAAAGGTCTGAAAACTAACGGCGATGGCCACATTGAAATAATTTTTCAAGTACAGGGGCAATCGATGCAATTGAGAATTGGAGGGGGTAAAATGATACCGAGCCAAAGTACAAGGGGGTAAAGTGATACCGAGCTAAAGTACAAGGGGGAAAATGAAATTTACACTTAAATAATTATATATCTTTTATTTAAATCTATTTACTTATTTTTAAATGATGAATTTTAGTATTTGTTTCCTATTATAATATCTTCTTTTTTTTAATTAAAGGGAAAATTCAACTCATACACCTTACAAAAAGTCCTCCAAAACAATTAATGGAAAAATACTTGTGAAATATTAAATCATGATTATTCGATATCGACTATAAATAAGTGAGTTGATTCACTATTTTTAGATATGTGCTGTTTTAGATTTCTACTTTCTGATTTTCTCGTACAACATGAATTTGCATCATCCGATATTTACACGTTTTTTTCAAACTTCTCGTTTTTTCTGTATCACCGTTTTCGTGTCGTACTCCATAGGTGCATGAGCATCATTTTAGTCGGCTATACAGTATTATACTATATTATTTTTTTAATATTATTATATATCTGCTTTTAGCCCTTCCAAGAAGATTGAATATTTTTCTGCACAAGGGTATTGAGTCTATGGAGTATTTGCAAGTGACAAACGAATCATATTCTCCAACTTTCAGTCTATTTCATCTAAAAAAAACAGAAATTTTAAAGTGCGTATCAATAATTCATGGCTATTAAAATTGTACGATCTACGATTCAAATCGTGTGACTGTATGCGATTTGAACCATTTTCTATGCAAATCGGTGCATAAATCGCAATTTATAAAAAATCGCATGATTTACGATTCAATTTGTTTCGATTTGCACAATTTTTAGAAGAAGGTAAAAATTATTGTTTAGAATAAAATTAAAAATTAAGCTAATTGTTTTTTTAAATGCTAAAATTTGTAAGAATTATGCTAAAATTCGAAGGATATATATTTTACTTTATAGGAATATATACACTTTGTACCCCTGAAGTATAGCCTATGTAACACTTACTTCCTTAAAATATCATTTGTAACACTTATCCCCTCAACATCAATTATTTATATTTTAAACTTTAAAACATAATAAGCATAAAAATCTAATAATTATTGGATCATATAAAATTGAAAAGTAACTAAAATTAAATTGTTGGAAAATAATTAAAAAGTAATATATATTGTATAATATGCATGAAAATATATTTTAAGAAATTAACAAATTTAAATACTTAAGATTACTATTAGCTATGAATTGATTTCTTAAAATTTATCGATATGAATATATTCGATTAATTGATTCGACAACGGTTATATATTATTTATTAAATATGTACTCAACACAAGATAATATTTTAAAATTTTAAAATTTTAAAATATTGTATGTTTGAACATATATTTTTAGTTGTATACTTTAATTATTCTTGTAGTTATTCCTTTCAATAAAAGAAAAAGTTTTAAGGTTTAGAATTTAAAACACAAATTAAATTGTGCTTAAAGAGGTAAGTATTACAAAAAATATAATTTAGGGGTGTAAATTGTATTAACCCTATTTTATATTCAACCTATGTAATAATAATAATAATAAATAATTGCATTAATTAATATTAGTGATAAGAAATGTCTGACATCATGGCGTTGGATGAGAGCACCTATAGGCTATTAAAAAACTGCTGAACCAAATAGCAATTTTGACCTTTTACTGACACATATAACTGTCCTCATATTTAATTAAACTTTCATAAATTAGGTTAAAAAAGTTAGGAATTCATTCATATTCTTTTTTTCTTTAAATCTTTTTTGTGATATATTCTTTAATTTTCATAATTTAGAATGATGACAAATTACGGCTACCCTTGAGTTATGGTCAAATTACGAAAATCTCCCTTTTGTTTGTGTAATTACAATCACTCCTTCAATTATGGACAATATTACGAAAATACCCCTTCAGAGGTAAATTTATGAATGTTAAACCGGTAAAACCGAACCAAAATTTTGGTGCACCAACATTTTATATCGTTTACTGAACTAGATATACGATTTGGTTCGGTAAATAACCGAATTATATAAATTTTATGTAAAAATATTTAATAAGAGGGGGTACTGTAATTACCCAAACAAGAGGGGTACTGTAATACCTCAGTGGTGACCGTAATTTACCCTTTAGAATTATAATGGAAATCGGGATAATTTTCATCAATTTGATTTATTACCGGCTCCTAACTTGAAAAACGTACAATTTGAGATATTAAAATGACATTTTTTTTTCTTTTTTTAAATCGTTGGAGTTTTTAAAATTATATTGTAAATCACTTTATATAAGCTATCAAAAGCCCTTCTGCGTCTATTAAGCCCTTATCATTACATTCTTCGTTTCTAATATATTTTTAATTTTTATGTCTCGTATCAATATTTTAGTGGGAGAAAAATGATTAATATCCTCTTTGCATTAAATTGCTATGCATCAAATAATGAGATCTGAAATTAGGATATTGTACCAATTTGGACATTAAATTTTTAGATATGGAAAATTTTCATTAAATTTCCTTATAGAATATAAATGTTGTTCTTAAAACGAAAAAACATACAATAAATTTTAATTTTCTTTCTATTACATGTTTCCCATAAGAAAGAAAAAGTTAAAATTGGGACTATTATCAAATCTATCAAGTTCGTACCATATACATTATATATGCATTTACACACACCCAAGTTAGTGATAATTACACAATTCCAATTTATTTATTTATTTAGGGTAAATTACAATCACCTCAATTTACAAAAAAATCCCTCTTGTTTGGATAATTACATCTATCCCCTCAACTATGATTTTTTCTTACACCTCCACTATTGTGGTGTCAAATTCAACATAATGATCTAGACCTCGTGGAATGTGCTCTAGTTTGTATTCGTTTTGTGTGAAAATACAGTTTTTGATGCACCACAATCTGATATATGCAAGCCAAAAAACACATATTATGATCATCTTGCTACAATATGTGGAGTTCGAATGGGATAAAATGGGCACTAAAGTGATAATATTCCATATAATCTCGAAGATTCCACTAAATTTGAAACCGCAAGGATTGACGTGTAAGAAAATTTATAGTTGATATGATGGTTGTAATTACCCAAACATGAGGGGATTTTCGTAATTTAACCATACCTCAATGGTGGTTGTAATTTACCCATTTCTTTATTATTTGTTGTGTTGTGTGTAATGAAGCCATTGTAATAAACTACATAGGTGTATTGAGTAAAATTTAATTATTCATTATACATAATTAATATTATGATAACTCACTATTGATTGCTTGCAATGGTGGCCTAATTGGTGTATTAAAAAGAACGCAATATCTAACGACTCGAATTCGATAACTCATGTCAACACTTTTTAGGTCAAATACTTTTTGTGTGGTTTGGAAACTATTGCTTATTTTAAAACATGAATTACGTATTTGTTTAGTCATCGATTGCCAGGATAAGATTAGTCAATATATTATTAAACAATTTAATGAAATCCGATGACATTATTGGATGTTCGATGTTCCAATAAAAAAAATGTCTAGAATACAAGATAAGTCGATTATTGGAGAAACCAAACATCAAATAAAGTTCAATTATTTAATTAATCATGACTAATCTTTCCAACCAAACGAGACCTTAGTATACAAATAAATACCAAAATCGTAATTGAAGTACATTTCATGAAACAATTCATTGCATAAAATCAAAATTTACACAAATATATATATTCAAATTAGAATGTTCAATATTCGACCAGAAAAAAAGACGTCGTTCCAAAATATGCATCTTTTTAGAATAACTATTTTGTCCAAAATTATTTGTCACTTTAAAATTCTAAAAATACATTAATTGCACTTTTCCCAATTCGGCTCTTCACCCCTATTAGTTGAGAACCAATTAATAATGATGAGAATATTTTGTAATTTTTTAAAATAGTTTTTTGATTTAACCAATACATATTTATTGATTTTTTTAAATCAATATATAGAGTAATATTTATTAATGATTTTTAGACACCCAAATGGACCCATGTAAATTGGAAATTCAGGAAAAAAGATCCGCTTTTGGGAAAAAGCTCACTTTATACTAGAAGGGCAAAAAGGTTGAGGGCAGTATCGTAATTACACACCCCAAACGCCCCCTCGTGTACCGAGTTTCGCCCTCGTTTTCTGCCCCCAATTTTACCAACTATTTACAGCTTTGCCATCCTTAAACCCCCATTGATTATTTTGTCTTCAAAACACTGCAAATTGCAACAGCAAAGAAAAAGGGACCCTGCTTCTCCATTAATCAAACAAAGCAAACCACCCTCTCTCTCTCTCTCTCTCTCTCTCACACACACACACTCGCGCACACACACGAGTGAAAAAAAGTTGCAGGAATTCATACGGAGAGGGCGGGAGAGGGAAAACGGAGGTAAAGCGCAAACGGACGGCGAATTGAAGAACAAAGGTTATTGGAGAATTAGTTTCTGTAAATTTTTTTTTGATTTTTTGATGTTGTGTGGTTGTTTATTGTTGTTTTTCATTAACGAGATGAGAAAAATTGCGTTTGATTATGAATGCGGATGTGAACGGAAAGCATGATCGTTGGGTGATCTTTTTGATTGGCAGTGATTGGTGATGCTGCTGGCGGCGGGGGATTTTTCTCTGGAGCTGATTGTGCGTGTTTGAAGGTAATGTGCGTGTTTCTTCTCACTGTAAAAAAAATTGTTTCAATGGAGATAATTATAGCACAATCTTCGTTCGGTGTGTGGTGGATTATTGCATGCATTTGAAAATCTGTGTTGAATTTTTGCAATGTGGTAACTTCATGTCGAAATTCCGTGATTTGTGTTTGATTTACTGTGCAATCCTATTTAGTTGGGGTTGACTCGAATACTGGAGGAATTGTTTTGAATTTTCATCAGCATTGGCTGTTGCATAGCTGTAGGTTTCTATTGATTAGTTGCCATTTGCTGATTGACTAACCATGACTACGTATTTTTTCGTATTTTTCGGATAGATTTTTTCGAATTTATTTATGCACGACGTGAGAACGGGATGCTAGTAATAAGTGGATAAGAGTCGAATTAAATGAGCTATAAAAGTGGTGCGAATTATTTCAGAAAATTAATTCAGAAAATTATCCGTTCGGTACATTAAATGCCGAAACAATGCCGTTGTTCGGGACAACGAAAAACAGTGAATGCAAATAATATTGGAAATGTTTATTTATTTGGTTAGCTCTTTTTTTTTGTGTGTCTATGAGCTTGTGATTGGTTTAAATGACTATGAGGTGTCTCTGACTAGGCCTAGTGTATGAGTCTGTGATTAGGTTACTGTTTTCTAGATCCTCGGGAATGTCGAAATTTCCATTATACTCAATCATCCATTTTCGTTAAAGAGCGTGATTTTCTGAAAAGGGTAACTATTTATTGGCTTATGTACTTGATCAAATTGATTTTCCAGATAAATTGATCAATGTGGTTATTCCTTCCAGAAAAAAATGCAACAAGCTTCAATGGATAATGACTTGACTGTAGTTCAGCAAATTACATTTGGTCGCCTGAAGGGAATTCATCTCAGAATCTTATCCGATGAAGATGCCGTAAGTCTTCATAAACTCTATAGATTATGTTCGCTCATGTTGTAATTATTATTTGATAATCTAAGTTGTATGTAGAAAATCTCTTTATGATTATACCAATTGCACTTCTTCCAGGAAAAGATGTCTGCAATTGTCGTTGGAACAGTGAATGAAGTGTCTGATGCGGCACTGGGGCTTCCTACTCAATATGCTACAGAATGCGCGACATGCGGTGCCAAAAATTCAAGGGATTGTGAAGGTAAATTTGGGGAGTTAGTGGTCTCTGTCTTTCTGTCCCTGTAACTTATTTATTTGAAGTCTGATTTCTTTTGTTGCGTCTTGCAGGGCATTTTGGTTTGATCAAATTCCCCTTTACGATTCTAAATCCTTATTACATGTCCGAAGTTTCACAAATTCTTAATAAAATCTGCCCGGGATGTAAAACTTTTCGGCATAGTAAAACCAAGGTGAGGAACACTACACTCTGATTTGCTAAAAAGTGAGGTTGTTGGTATGAGGAAATTTATTGTTTCTCAGTGTAATTTGGTATTTTTGCACACAAATAACTGCAAAGGTTTATTAACTTATTTTCATATTTACACTGAATTGGCATGGCTATACCTATCATCATCATGGTTATGTAGGCATGGCAATAAGGTCAAAATTGTTCAATTAAATTAGGTGATATTGAACTTAATGGAGTTTAAGACAAAAGCATAACCAACTAAGGACTTTCTATAACATGTTGTTATCAATAATCCTTATTCTTGAAGTGGTATGAAACATTTTACGTCCATTTTGTTTTTGATAAACAGTGGAACTAATGTGAGAATAGGCAAATTTTAATCTTGAAAGTCGTCATTGACATAAATGAGTTATTGCGGCATCATTAATTAATGCCTTGTGTATGCATTCAGTTAATGCCTTATGCTGCGTCTCAAATTACAACCTTCTTTTATCAGTGTTCTAATCTTTAGTTTTTGTTTTGAATAAAACTATTTTTATGTTATTGAAAGACTCTAGAAACATATATTCGTAAAACTATCAAAGTGAATGCGTCCAATTTCTATTCAAAATGCTAATGCTCGTCTTCTTGTCGTTTTTGCATGTCTCAGAATGCCGATTCTTCATCAGCTCATAATCAGTCGAGGAATTGCAGATATTGTAGTGTGAGTTCATTTGGTTGCTCTTATGCACTTTTGTACATGACCATTACCAACCTGTTTACATACAAATAACAGGGAAAATCCAAAGATGGGTATCCAAAGATGACATTTAGAGTATCCTCAAAAGACGTGTTTGCAAAGAGTGCAATAATTGCGGAAGTGAAAGAAATATTGGTGAATAAGTGCTCCAGTGGAAATCTGGCTTATGATTATTGGGATGTAATACCTAAAGATTCAGCCGTCGAACATGCTGTCTTACCACCAAACAGAAGGGTTCTATTGCCTGCTCAAGTAACATTACCCATAAACCTTTTTTCTTGGGTTGATATATGCTGATTTTTTCCTGCTTCTTATTTCTTTCAATCTTAGGTCCACATATGACTTGTGTTTTTAGATCTATTACCATTTTTGTCTTGCTTGTAAAGGGTTTTTCTCCCATCTCCCAGCCAATTTCCCTTTCATACCATGTAATCTTGAATGGACTTGAAATACATACACAGTGTGCCTGATTGACACAAGTACAGTTATCTTATGAAACGTCTTCTTCTATAGCTTTTGCTTAAACAAGATTGTTGACTAGACCTTATGTTTTGCTTTTGTCTAAAGTAAAATTGCAACCCTACATGTGTTCGCGATCAACAACTTCCTGTTTGCGTCTATATAATTCCATATTCGTGTATCCCCCAGCCACGTGATGCAGTTTATGCTGTCATTTATTGCTTAGGTCTATAACATTTTGAAAGATGTATGCCCCACGACTTTGCAAGGACTTCTCAAACGGAAAAACTCAATCTTTCTCAACTCTTTGCTTGTGACTCCAAATAGCCATCGGGTGCGAGAATTTGGTCAGCGAATAACTATTGTAAGTGATTCTAAATTTCTGTGCTCTTTTTTTGACTGCTTAATATTTGAGTTGCATTATTGTTTGGAATCTTAATATTTTTACTGATTACACTGTTACATGCTGTTTTCACTTGGTAGGATGAGTTAACAAGGATGTATAGAAAGTTGGTGGATTTTAGAGGTTCCCCAAATGAGCTGACTGCTCGTGTTCTTGACAGATATAAACTTTCCAAGGCAAGAGCAATAATCCAGCCTTCTCTCTCTCTTACGCTCAAACATACACACACATTCATTCAAATTTATGAATGTTTTTTTTTTCTTTTCTGAGAGAAGTTATTGCTGAAATTCTTTCGTGCTGCAGATACGCTCTGAAAAGGTGTCCTCAATGCAGAAAGAATACGAGAGGCAGTCATTGAATGATTCCGCTTCCAGTTCCTCAGCCTTAAAAAATATCAAGGAACTGGTACTTGCAAAGCGGACAGATAATTGTTTCCGCATGGTCGTTGTTGGCGATCCTAGAATTAGAGTAGATGAGATTGGCTTGCCCTCTCATGTTGCAGAGAATATGTTAATCGCAGACCATATAAACTTGTGGAATTGGGATAAGCTAGAAGTATGCTGTGACTTTATGCTTTGTCATAAGGGAAACTTCTCAATTCTTAGGAATGGTGAGAGGATTACTATATGGTCCAAGGACATGTTGCGGACGGGAGATTCTTTACGCAGGCCCCTCATCGACGGAGATATTGTTTTGGTTAATAGGCCTCCATCTATCCATCAGCACTCCTTGATTGCTTTGTCCGTGAAGATTCTCCCAACAACATCTGTTGTCTCAATCAATCCACTCATCTGTTCCCCATTCAGAGGGGACTTTGACGGAGATTGTCTTCATGGTTATGTCCCACAGTCTGTCAACTCCAGAGTTGAGCTTCAAGAGCTTGTCTCTTTGGATAAGCAGTTGGTCAATGGGCAGAGCGGTCGGAACCTGTTGTCCCTAGCCCAGGATAGTCTAACTGCTGCACATCTTATCTTGGAAGATGGTGTGATCCTGAATAAGACCGAGATTCAGCAGCTGCAAATGTTTTCTTCTTCTTGTATGCCGATATTGCCTGCTCTTATCGACTCTGCTTCGCGGACTAATTTTTGGACTGGAAAGCAAGTGTTTGGCCATCTTTTGCCACCTGAGTTTTCCTATGCATCTAATTCTGCACATGTTATGAATGGTGAGGTATTGTCTTCTTCTGGATCGTCTTGGCTGAATGATACCAGTGAAAACCTCTATCAATGCCTTGTCAGAGATTTCCCCGACAGAGCTCTTGGTTTTTTTGATGCTGCACAGGAAGTTCTTTGTGAGTGGATCGCAAGAAGGGGATTGAGTGTGTCATTAGCAGATCTTTACCTGTCTTCTGATCAACATTCGAGGAAGAATCTCCTCGACGAGATATTTTACGGTCTTCAAGAAGCAAAGATGTTATCAGATATCAGTTCACTTATGGTGGATTGGAACCAAGATTTCCTTGTTGAATGCCCTGAAGAGGTAGGCATGGAAAATCTTCTGACAGAGCAGATGCTAATTGGTCAACAAACTAAAGCCGAAATTTTTCAAGCTTCAGTTTCTGTCTCCAAGTCAGTTGTCCGGGATATACAAAATCTTGCTTACAAATACCCCAGCAAGAACAATTCGTTCATAGCTATGCTGAAGGCTGGGAGCAAAGGGAATTTGGCAAAACTATTCCAGCAAAGCTTGTGTCTGGGTTTGCAGCACACGCTAGCTCCAGTTTCCTTTTCGATTCCCCGTGACCTTACTTGTGCTTCGTGGAACTATCAGAAGGGTAATTCAGGTGTCCACAATTTCAATGGTTATCCAGAAGTATCGGAATCCTACATACCGTGTGCCTTGGTATCTAGCTCCTTCCTTGCAGGTCTAAATCCTCTGGAAAATTTTGTACTTTCGTTGACCGCACGAGATAGTTCTTTCAGTGGCCATGCAGATGTCTCTGGGACTATAACTAGAAGAATAATGTATTTCATGCGAGATATAATAATTGGTTACGATGGAACAGTTAGAAGTTCTTATGGAAACCAAGTCGTGCAGTTTAATTACTGCACCAAAGAAATGTCTGCAGCTGATAGTGATGCTGCTGTGGGTGGACATCCTGTTGGTGCGTTGGCTGCTTGTGCTATTTCAGAAGCTGCATACAGTGCTTTGGATCAGCCAGTTAGTGCACTGGAACCATCCCCTTTGCTAGCTATGAAGGTACTCTCTCTCTCTCTCTCTCTCTCTCTCTATATATATATATATATATATATATATAGACACACACACACACACACACACACACACACCCTGTTAGTGCTTGCTTGCATGTTGTGGGTGGCCCTCAGCGTTGTTGCTCAGCTTTGTGCGGCCTGGTCTTTTGATTTTGTGCTGAATCACCATAAAGTGCTTATAAAACTTGTAACGTTACATGGTCTAAGCACAGAATTTCTCTTACAATTTGACCATGCAGAAAATCTTGGAATGCGGAGTGAAAAAGAACACTGGCTATAAAAGTGCATCCCTATTTTTGTCCAGAGCACTTGGAAGATGGACAGATGGTTTGGAGTATGGAGCTAAAGAAGTCAAAAGTCATTTGGAATGCATAGTTTTCTCAGATGTAGTTTCGGAAACAAGGATATGGTAAAGCTTTCGGTCATCTATTAATTGATTTTCCTGTTAGCATTAGTGTTGATTTGAAATATTTCTATGTGCCATGTCTAAATATACCCCTTTGCCAACATCAGCTACTCCAGTCAGACAAACAGCAGCAATAGCATTAGTCCCTGGGTTTGTCATTTTCATATAAACAAGGTAATACATTAAGATATATTTATGCTTTTCTCAGTACCTGTGTATATTAATCTAGGACTAATTTTTCACCTTTCAGGAAGTTGCGAGGAAGAGACAGCTGCAAATCCGGTCTGTTATTAATGCACTTTATACGAATAGTAAATTCAGTGGAGTAAACTTGAAAATAAATCTTCCCAAGTTGCAGATAACAAGCAGGTAAGACTCTTTTCTTCAGAGGATTACTAGAAATTTTAACATGACAAAACGACGGAGAACATGATTGTTGCTTCTCTGATTGGTAGGCTTTGTTCTGAGGCTGACATTTGCAATCAATCCGACTCCATAATTTGCATCTCGGTTTCATTAATTGAAACCTTTAGAGAATTCTCGGACCTGGATATTCTTCGTGACATGGTGATGCCAGTCATTCTTCAGACTGTGATAAAAGGTAACTAACAAAGGATATCGCTTCGTCTGACATATATAGTACCTTTTTTATGTTTGAATGACATAAACGGAGTTGGTGCATACGCAATATCCTACCTATGTAACCTCTCATGAATTAGAAATGATGGAAATGAACTGACAACAAGATATATTACCTATAGGATTTCGGGAATTTAAGAAGGTTGATATCTTATGGAAAGACGACCCAAAACATCCAAAATTTTCGAGAAGCCCTCCTGGTAAACCCTTTTTACGGGTTGTCATGTCGGAATACTGTGAGAGGACCAAATTCTGGAGCATCCTAAAAGACAAGTGTCTTCCAATAAGAAATATAATTGACTGGAAGCAGAGTCACCCAGATGATATTCTTGATATTAGCGAAGCGTATGGAGTCGATGCCGCATGGCAATGTTTTGTCACTGTGAGTCATCTTTTATTTATTATTTAATTGCATATTTATTGGCTGCTGATTGTTGAGAAAAAACGAATATTGCATGCAGAGTTTGCATTCTGCCATCAGTGGAACTGGAAAGCCCATCCTTCCAGAACATTTAATTCTCACCGCCAATTGCCTCTCGGCTACAGGGGAATTTGTGCCGTTAAATGCAAAAGGGCTGGCGCTACAAAGAAAGGAAGCTAATGTTCATTCGCCCTTCAATCAAGGCTGCCTTTCGGTTTGTAACACATTCAAATTTGTATTTAGTAAGCTTTACTGTTCTGAATAATGCATTGCTTATGTTTTCTTGTCAAACTCGAACTATGTTACAGAACCCCAGCGATTGCTTCCTAAAAGCGGCCAAGATGGGACAAATGGATGGTCTTCAAGGAAGTCTCGAGGCTCTTGCATGGGGACAAACTCCTCCAATTGGAACTGGTTGTCGATTTGATATTGTGTATAATGGCAAGGTATAAATAGTTCCTAATCCTCTGAACACATATATAATTATACATTCTAACCAGCAATATATAGTAAATCTCGTATTTTCTTTTCCTATGTTTTGTCATGTGTTAGGGACATATTCCTGCTAAGAATGCAGATGTTTATTCTTTGTTGAGCACACATGCCGAGCGTGCTAAACCAAATGCTATGCCGAAGCAAGTCTCTGGGATCTCTATTTCTTCGTATCATTTCAACACAAAGGGGTGTAAGACTTTGCTTAGAAGAATGGTCTCCCAGAATTTCTCTATGGTTGGAATACAGAAAATTTCACAGAGATTGAAGCGTATGCTAAAACAGTACGTAAACCTTTTTCTCCTTCCTTTTACACAACTTGCACTTTCGGAGTAGTTGAATAACACACTTATAATACATATGTTTCTATAATGGTGTAGGTATCCGATGAACAGCCAGCTAACTGGGGAAGATAGGTCGACTGCAATTCGGGCTCTACAGTTTCATCCCCAATGGAAAGACAAGATTGGATCTGGTGTCTCTGAGATAAAGGTACCTTAACTTTTCATGAAATACACGACCGACATATCTATACTGTTTTCCGGAGCTTCACTTTTTTTCTTTTTTTCTTTTTTCTTTTTCGATTGATTGGTATTTTGTTACCGATGAGAATGATCCCATATTTTATTGTAATTCTTTTGCATGTTTTTTTACTACGTATTGCAGGTTGGGCGTCACCCTGAACACAAAGAAACATGTTTTTTTCTGGTAAGAACAGATGGAACAGAAGAGGACTTCTCGTACAACAAATGTATTCGTCACGCTCTGGAAATAATCGCCCCCGAGAAAGCAAAAGGTTACCGGTCTAGAAAGGAAAATGTGGTCCGGAATCAAGTAATCGAACTGGATTGATTTTTACGAATAATTTTGGCTGTGCAGAAAAATACTCTACAGACTACATATCAAATTATTATTATTCTGCAGATTTTCTTTTCTTTCGTTGTTGTAACTTCTAGAAAAAAAATAAAGTTGTAATTTGGATAGCCGAAGCTTCTTTTTGCTATTTCTACTAAAGGTTCTTCGCCCGATTTGGGCCAAGAAGATTTAGTGGAAGTCGCAACGGGAAAGCTTTCAAGGGCTATCCATTTTCATGTTGTAATTCTTATTTTTCTGCTAATTTGTATTTTGTATTAGTGTAACCCATAACACAACCCATGTCATTCCAACAAGTTCTAGTCTTATAAATTATTTCCCCTCTTTCAGTCCCATAATTTTCATTGTCAATTAAATTGTTTATACCAATTGTTTATGAAACTACTGCCGCCGGTTCCTTACATTTTCAGCGGTTCTGCGCACGTTTATACAGAGACCAGAGTGCCTGGATCAAACTTTTTAGTTACTTCTATCGTAAAATATGTAATAGTAATAATATTGACAATATAAGTCTAACTTAAGGAACTTACTAGGAAAATTTTGGAAAGAAAATCGGATCCGGATCGGAATCTTATGTGTATTCCAATTCCTTTCCAAAAATAATGGAAATCGGAACTTTCGGGATTCGGAATGAAAAGTTTTATTCCAAAATTGGAAATTTTTGGATCATAATAGGAGACTTCAGAAATTCCGTAATAATTTCGACCCCCTAAACCTTTCCTTAAGTTTGGTGGCTGAATCAGCATATAATTTGAACTTTTGGGATTTTACAAAAATGACTGGTATACGAGCAAGAAGATGATGCAGATAACAAGAATACGATTCTCGATTAAAAAAGAAACTGCGACTTATTATGGCGATTCTATTTCAGACATGCACACTAAGAAAATGAACTAGTAATTTTAAAAAGGATTTGAACTAAATGACGGATAATCACAAGAAGGTATATAAATACTTAAAAATAACGCCGTTGCCGGGGATCGAACCCGGGTCACCCGCGTGACAGGCGGATAATCACAAGTGTAAAATCCTGTATAAAATTATATTTAATTGTTATTGTAATAATGTACAATAAGCAAATCACATATATACATATTTTCACATGTACAATAATGTACAAAATTATATATTGTTTCCATACAATATATGTAAAATGTATTAACCATGTATAAAATACATATGGATATTTTATATATCGGTATATATTTTCGTAGTGTATATTGGATATTTATTTTATATGTATATTTTCACACAATATATTTTTTTTTTTCCTTGATATTGATTAATAATGATGAAAATTTTAGAATTATGTATTGGATCTATAATTAATTATAATTAAGAATATAAATCTATTAAAAATCGAAATTTGTGCAAATTATTAATAGTAAGTTGCTTAATTGTATTTCATCACATAGAATGTGAATATTTATTAGAAGACAAATTTTCGTAAATTAATTGTTCTTTCCACATGTTTCCAAAATATTCAAATCAATCATAGAGTAAAATCATTGCCAATGTTCAATTAATAATAAATGTACATATATGTATTATTGTTAAACCATTGGTTACCCAAAACAATAATTTGTAATTAACTTTTTACACAACAATTTTATACTAATGCAAAAACAACCCTCACCCACCCATAGTTGCAATTATTGAAAAGAAACCGACAATACTTATTTAAATACTACATATGCCCAT